TGAGTCAGATGGGTCAAAAAAATCGGATTTGGGTCAGATTTGCCTGCAGTGTGAACCAGAGTTTGCACTACCTTTTTATTGTCATAATATTTACCCATCAATTTTTACATGATAATTGCATTTCATTTTCATTCTGTTTAATATTCAACAAGTTGAACAGATAATCCACCCTAACCCCGCTACTTGGTATCGGTATCGGTATCGGCGAGTACCCAAACTGAAGTACTCGTACTTGTACTCAGTCTTGAAAAAACTGGTATCGGGACACCCCTAGTTCTAATATAAGCCAGGAAGAGAGATATACCAATCCCAGTAGAGAGGGTGCAACAAAGATCTGGGGTTGTGGGGAAAATACTAGTCAGAGGTTTGAAACGACACGAGAAAGGGAGAACACACGGAGGGGAAAAGTAGTGGAAACATGCACAGTATAGCTCCAAACTATTAGCTCAGGATGTGCAGCACAAAGGCACACCATGCTAATTCTTCTCTACCTGAAAACTGACACCTTATTTCTGCAAAGGAAATCCACAGGAAGCAAAATTAAAAACAGAAAAAGTGTAACAAAACAATATTAATATGCTGAATATTGAGTCATAAAATAGAAAAAAAAAATGTCTCATCAGCTTTTCATGCTGCGTTTCAGTGATATTTTAGTAGCTGCAGCTGTCACATTTTACAAAAAGTCAAGTCAGTGCAGAGATCGATTCTACGTGACTTATCAGTGACTGGTGCCAGAGCAGCATCGGAGGATGTGTCACTAAAGCAAAGCTACTGGTGCTTGCTTTAAAGCTCATAAATAACTTCATTAACAGTCAGAGGACTTCCTCCAACATTGGTCAGGTTTTTGAAAGAGTAGAGCACAAAATTAGTTTACTGCAGGACTCGTTTGGGCGCTGGATCAAGTCCTTTCATACTGGATGCAGCAACTACATCCAGAAGAAAAGGCGTTACAGCTTTTCTATTAGGTGAGGGCAGGAGATAGCCATCATCTACAACTCCTCCTTTATGTGCACAATGCAATAAGCCCACATTCTGACATTTACCTTCTACAGTTTCCAAAGAAAATATGAAAGTTGGGAAGATGACAGAAGAAATCAAAAACAGTAAATAGCAGTGGAAAACAACCATGTGGCAAAAGAACGTGTGAACAACGAAATGCCAACAAAGACCCACAGTTATGAAGCATCTTCTACCTTCACTGCTTTCGCTTCAATTTTAATATAAATAATATATGCTAAAGCAAACCTTTCACAGAAATAAATATTTCTGTTTCAAAAACCAACATGAAAAAATATAAATGCATTCACTTCCTGTTTGTTTTAACACATTACCTTTTTGCCAGAAGCACCAACACTGGCCTTCTTGATGCCTCGTACTTTCTTCATTCTGTTCTTGCGTTCTTTGCGCTGTTTCCTTGACGTCTTCTTTTTCTCGTACAGACCGTGCTGAGAAAGAAAATTGTGAAGTGTTACTGTCGAAGTCACACCTGCTCTGCAATGGCACGGGAATAAATCATTTCACCGATGGGAGACTACAGCTCAATTTGCATTTACCTGCTCAACAACTTCAAGCAAATTTCACTAAATAAAACAAACTAGGTATAAGACTGACAGCTCCGACATCAGGGCAGCTGATGGCTGATTTCACACTCATTTTTTTGCCAATACTTATTTTTCATGTAATACAGTCAACACACACTTTTAAGTGTCAGACAAAAAAAACAACAACTGGATATTCACTGTTTTAAGAGGAGACGACGTCGCAGCTAAAGGTGTGTTGGGTTTCTATTTCTCAGAGTAAGATGGGAATTTCAGCTCATCCAGGGGACACATTCCTACATCTTGTTTACATCAGACAGAACTTCTGATTGACAGCTGGTGGAGGAGTCACACAGGGACTTATAGAAACACAAACCAAACAAATGCAACTAGCCTTTAGGCTCTTTTACAAAGTTACGTGCGTGTCTACAAAGACCAGTCTGTCTTTATAATGCCTCTGATCAAAAAATCACCAAACAGGGCCGGCCACTTCCTGCTAGGGGGGGTAAGAAAATATCGATACACTGAAATATCGCAAATTTCATTTCCCGATACTGTATTGATATTCTAAAGCCCTGTATCGATTTTTTTATTAAGGTTTAAAATGTCAACTTTCCCGCCAGCCGTTCATTTTTATGTTGTAGTTCAGCCTCTGACCACTAGTTGGCAGCAGTGAGCCAACCACTTGGCTCCTCCACAGCTTGAGCGCCAGAGAGTAAGAGAGCATTAGCATTGTAAGTAAACATTAGCTTCATGCTCTGATAGCTGAATCTGAGCGGAAAAGACCGACACCCTCTGCTTTCTAAGCTGAAGTAAGGTTACAAACAGTTACTTATTTATCAGAATGTCTGTATTTTAAGACAAATTAAGTGTCTTGTGTGCTCTTTTTTCCAACTGTAGTCAGGTTTCACGTTACGCATAGCGCATGTGTCTATCACCTCGAGCGAGCTCGGCACTCCCCCCGTGATATAAAACTCTGTCTGTTGCTCTCAATATCCGGCTCATCGCATCAAAGTCCACATACTTTAAGTTTATCCTACTGTGTTTGCTTCAAAAACGGTTTAACTAGTTTAGTTTCTCAATTTCTTAACTGGTTTTCTTCGGGACCTGCCCTGCTGTTCGACCCACAGTTATACAAATCATGTTCTGGATGCAGGTCAGCTGATCCCAGAAACTCTGTGTGCAGCAGCTTCATATCATCTGTTTACTGAACTTTATGACAACATAAACACTACTGTTAAGTGTTTGGTGACCATATTGTAAATTAATATTAAAAACTAAAAGCTGCAAAAAATATATTTTCAAGCTATTTATCGGCAAATTTAGTCTAATAATTAAAACCATGGATGAAATATGAAACAAATAAAATAAAACACATACAAAGCAGAACACAGCTAAATGTATCAAAAGTATGTCTGTGTAATATTAGAATTTTCTGAGACAGTGAATTTTGGTTTTTCGTTTTGTTTTTTTCCCAGTAAGAGGTTTTTATTTAATAGAATTTTTGGACCAAAAAAAAAAATCACAATATATCGCCTTGTTTACAGTATTGAAATATATCGGGATATATCGTATCGTGACCCCTCTGTCATGATATGTATCGTATCGCCAAATTCTTGCCAAGACACAGCCCTACTTCCTGCACAGACACGCGTTCAGAAATAAAGCCAAAAATCCCAGAAGCGCGTTGATGTGGAGCACAACACATTAACAAACAACTTCCTCCTATCATTTACAAAACACGATTAACTCAGTTCAGTGATTCTTGTGGATTAAACTAGTTTTAATAACTAAATTCAAAGCTGCTGTGCCACACCATCAAGCTTCTCTCAGTAATAAATCTGTTTGTTGTTGTTTGACCCCAAACAAAACGACATGTTAATATACTGTATTTTGGTTTGCTTTCATTTATCTTTGCAAATAAACCTGTTCATGCAAACGAAACAAACTGTTGCACACTCACTCTGGCAAGTCTGTGTTTGGGCTCATTCTTCTTGGCATAATCTAAGGAATCGTAGACCATAGCAAAGCCTGTTGTCTTGCCACCACCGAACTGAGTCCTGAAGCCAAAGACGAACACAACATCAGGGGTGGTCTTGTACATCTTGGCGAGTTTCTCCCTGATTTCTGTCTTGGGGACTGTGGCCTTGCCGGGATGGAGGACATCGACAACCTTTCAAGACATTAAAGCACAGAATAAACATCTTGCTTGACAGACGGACTGAACGATAAGAGACTAAACACGCGACGCCTCTTACCATTTGCTTCCTCTGAAGCAGCCGGTTCGTCATGAACTTGCGGGTTCTGATTGTTACTGTGTCGTTCTGTGAATAAAAGAGACGACAAAAATTAGGGACAAAAGTTTTAGCGGTTTTTAAATCAGGAGATTACCTTTAAATACCACTGCTTGAAAACACTTTACAAGGATTTTGGCTAAAAAAGGTTAACAAAAAGCAGGTGAACAACTTAACCAAGACTAGAAGGAGAGAATCAGTGATCTTCTGTAAATCTCAAAGTGCTTATATAACAAGAAATATTGACATGCCCTGAAACTATATAGTCAAAAGCAAATAATGAAAACTCAAATCCCTAATTTTTAGGCATTAACAAATCAGTCATCCAGATTACACACATGTACCATCATGCTGTCCAACCTGACATGTTAGCCAACCCTATAATACTACAGTAGATATAAAAATACGGTATAATAAAGACGTTTACTCAAATATTGATGAATGCTTCATACGTATCTATTTAGGCTGAACAATTGTTTTTTCCCTTCTTGATTACACTAGGCCTCGTTCCTCTGTTCAACAGTGTATGCTAACGTTAGCCACTTCGAGCTACCATTATAATTTACTTTAAAATAACTGTACTGCAGCAACAGTGTGGGCTTAGCAACTTTTACTACTAATGAGAACAAACTGAGGCCAAATTGCAAACACTCGTTTAAGGAGGTTCCAAAAACACAGTTTAATCTCCGGAGCAAGATCAGCTAGGCTAGTTACTGAAACAAACAGCAGATTATTTCCTCAGTGTGCTTTGTGCTTTCACAATATTGCCATATTATTATAGAGGAAACATTGAGAAAATCATTTTTATGCAGGACGTCGGTACTGATGGTGGGATGACTTCGATGTTGATAGGATTTTAATTTTAATTTCAACCACAAGACTCACCATCTTGACGCCGGCCTCTCAGGGACGTAAAAAAGGAAGAAGGACCTGCATGCGACCGGATTAATGCCTGCCGAAAAATGTCGCGGGAACGTAGCCGTGTTGCCTGACGAAAAATATCTATTTCATAAAATAAAAGAAAACAAATCACGAAACACAACAAAAGTAAGTTTAATTTCGACATTGCTTCTATAATAAATACGAAACAAAAACGAGGGTATAAAATAATGTTTTCAACCACAGATAAACAGAGAATGTATAAAACTATATACTTATGTATAAAATTACTGAAATTATTAATGATGAAACTAATTCTGAAATATCTAAGATGTTATTTATTATGCATGTTTTTAAATTTGTTTTTCTCTGTGTTCATAACAAAAATATTACAAATTTTCTAGCTGAGCTTAACTGGTTTCCAACATTTTGATGTTGTGGCCAGTCTTACTATATTAAATTAGTTCTTCCTTTCACCATGCTTCACCTCCTTAAATTTTATTTATTTATTTTATACGTCCATTGTGTAATCTTACTGATCTATAGAAAAAAGAAACAACCCCCATCCTCCAGCCAAAAAAAGTACATAAAACAGAAATTATTTGTTACAGAATTTTATTGATCTTGCAAACTTGCAGCAACAGTGTCCACTGGCATTGGACTGGAGTTTCATTTGAAATTAAAGTTATTTGAAATTAGAACAGAAGGTTACAGTAAATTTGTTTCCATCTTTTTTTAAACTCATATTGTTAAGCCCTCATTTTTGAACCAAACAAACCTGAAATAAATTTGCCATTTGAATTATAATGCTATAACTGAAAGACTCTTACCAGGAAAGAAAGAAAAAAAAAGTGCAATGCAAACACAATTTCAACTACCTGTTGATGAATTTCGCAGCAAACTTTGCCATAGGTAATCACAAAGCCAATAAGGATAATAAAAGATAAACGTCATTCAGTGGTTCCAATCGTACAAAAAAAAAAAAAAAACAGTGAAAAACATGAGCCGTATGGTAAGTCATTTACCACAATTATAGCTGCGACTTGGATTAGCAAATAGGGCTATGAGGTTTTAAAAAATATATAGGGCTAAAATGATTGAGTGGCACTTTTTACTGTATTACCATCCAAACTTCTGAGTTCAACAATGTCACGTGCACCAGCGTACGTCCAAACTTCACTGCTGTTTGAGGAAGAAACTTATCTAGACGATAAAATGTTTTGCTCAATTGCTGAGTACGATATCACCTGTGCTCCTGTGAAAAAATAAACATCTGTTGGAAAGTACAAACTGATGACAAGGAAACTAGTCACTGCATCTCATGTAGAGTAAGGCATGGGCGGGCGCGACGCGTGAAATAGGGGACATGTCAAACAGATCAAGGACACTGGGGACAGATTTGTAGATTGAAGAGGACAGTATCCATCAAACCCAATGCAAAAAAAATAAAATAACATTTTCTTTTTCCTTAACCTGTCTAACAAACCCAACGTCCTGACAAGAGGTACACCCCAACAAACCCTCGAAACTGTTGAAAAACAAAATGCATATAAAAAAAATCCAGACTTTATTCAAGTTTTTCTAAATCTTCTTGTAAAATGAATACTGGGAAAAAAAATCCCACGTTGTTCTAGATGGAGCTGGAAGAATACCTGGCAGATTTCATCCTGTTTTTAGATTATTAAATCCCAATTACAAAGCTCTTGCCAACTCTTGGTACACTTGAGCTGCTTAATTCTCTTACAGAAATCGAACTGTACAAGAAAAGCTTGATTTTCAAGAGCTATATTTAGATTTTCACTTTACATTCAATCATTTGGTGATTTTAAAATTGTAGCCTAAAATTCATTTGGAAAAAAAAAAGATTCCTCTTAAAAAGGTGAAAAACCAAAAAAACAAATTGAGTTGGTAATAGGAAGTAAAATTGTGGAATGGTTCGAGATCTTTGCCTATTGGGAAAAATAAAAGCACAGCGTCCCTTTACGTATCATCACTGGAACCTAAGAAGTCCAACTGATACCAGATTGTGGAGCTTTTCAAGTATTTTCAAAAACTAGAACGAAAATGAACTGATTCACTTAAATAACATGCTTAAAAGGATTTTAAAAACCTAAAGCCTGTGATGGAAATCACAGCTATTAAATGATTTTAAACGCAAATTTACAACCTCTCCATGTTTAACCTGGAATAGATTCAAAATTTCAGAGTGCTCTGTTAGATAGGAAGTTGTATGAAATCGACTACTTTCATTAATTTTTTTTCTGGGTAAAGAATCTTCAGGCCTCACTCCTTTATTGTGAAACTGTTAATTTGTGCTGTAACCATGATAATTTACTCAAATAGACCCAATTGTGAGAGTTGGCTGTGTTTTGTTTGTGCATATTTGATGGTTGACACACGTTAACATCCAGCAGAGAGAACAGAGAGCTAAAGATGGCTGCCATGAGGGCTCACAACATAGGTTTCTACAAGCCAAGCCGCTGGCATGCACAATGCCAGGTCACTTCCTTATGCTGGTGCGCTTCCAGTGGGTCAGATGTCCATTTCAAACTGAGAGTCCTCACCTCCAAAGAGAAAAGACACACAAATGAGGTGTTAGGGGTCTGTTAGTCAACTTTTTGATCATTCATTTCCCATTTTAAAAACAGATACTGAAAAATGTTAAAACCAATGGTTACATTATTTTCAGGTTTCACAGGACAGCACAGTTTTTTTTTAATATCCGCTTTTAAAGCAAAAATCGAATAACCAATACATACAGGGACTGTTAAAAGTTCTGTGACACCAAAGTGGCTTTATTTAACCCGTTCTAACAAATAGCTGTATTTTCAAAAGCAAAATGTTTTATTGTTAGTGGTTTGACAACAAGCTTTCCACATCACCTCTATATTTTAAATAAGCCTCGGCACAAAGCAGGTGACTTTATTAGGGCTGCAACGATTAATCGACGACTAATCGATTATTAAAATAATTGATGACTAATTTAATAATCGATTAATCGTTTTCTTTTTTTTTTTTGTTCTTTACTTTGTTTTTCTCTCCAAACTGCTTTGACACCTTCCACTGCCACATCTGCCTTTCTGTCCTTGACCCACAGTAGTGGTAACTGGTGTTGGCCGTGGACGTCACAAGACATTATACAGACAGGCTCTGGTATCATGGCTACCTGACAACGGAGCTCAAAAGTGTGGGATCATTTTAAGAAAATGAAAGAGAAACCTGTGTAATATCTGCAGAGCAGAACTTGCATTGCACAGCAATTATTTTTAGTTAGCATATAGCTAAAATCTAACGATGGTTATATAATAGCAGCTGCATTCTGACGTGATAAGCTGTATGTTTTATATTCAATTAACGTATGATCTGATTAGTCAACTAATCGCAAAAAATAATAGGTGATTAATCGATTATAAAAATAATCGTTTGTGGCAGCCCTAGGGTCAAACAATGTTTTAGTCAAACAGAACCAACAAGAATGAAACAAAAAGTAAAGAATTACAGAAAAAAATAAATGTTAAATGTAAATAAATTCTAATTATAATAAATTAATAATAGTTTTACATCTAAAAATCACATTTTATTATTTTAATCTATTTTCCTCATTCAGCAACCTATTAAATTTCTGTTATGTTTCATGTAGGAGAAATACACATTTTTTCAGTCAGTATTTAATACAGCTGGCAAAATAAATTGTTAAAAATTTGTATTATGTGCTTCTGTTTTTTTAATTCAGGAGATTATAAAAAAAATCCTTCATTTTAAGGGAAGACCCTCTTGATTCAAGAGAAAATTCTATTTTTTTAAAAAAGGCTGCTTATTAATTAATTGTTAATCTATCAGATAAATCAACTTCAGATTAATTCATTATCAATAACTTGCATCCTTAAGGAGTTAACTTAATTTATATCTACTCATATTCATGTAATTAAGCATTTTAATGATTTGGCCGATTAATCAATTAATCAAAAAAATAATCAACAGATTAATCGATTATTAAAATAATCGTTAGTTGCAGCCCTAGACTTTATAACAAGACCTAGTTTACTTTTGGTTTCATTTTGCAGGGTTGTATTCTGGTTTGCAACTTTATTCACAGTTGTTTTATTGAAGCATTTTTATGACAGCTGTGTGTCTGGTTTTATTGTTTTTGCTGCCTGCTTGCTGTATTTTTTTCCATAATCATCTGAGTTTTATCGTTATATGCAACAAAACATTTTTTTGCTGTTTGAAATGTGTTAATGCTCTTCTGAAGCACTCCAAATCTCTAAAATGGTCCTCGTACATTGTATTGTGTTACATGTTTCTGTTGTTGAATCAGACTCAACATCTGACTGAATAAGCAGCATCAGTGAATGTGTGTGTTTTTTACGTTGCTTTGGTTTCCAACTTTGAATCGATGTACTGTGGATGCTATCTTTAACTTCCCTGTTCAACACCATTTTTCCCCACTAGTGACATTTGGAATAAAAAGTGTCATGTTGGGCTTTAATTGCTGCAGATTCCTTACATTGTTTTGATCATATAAGATCCTTAAAGTTAATTATTGTCACATTAAGTTTTAATGTTTAATACACAGTGTCAGTTCTTGTTCAGGCTTCTAAATGTGAACTTGGAGAATAGATATATTAAACATTATTACATATAAATAAATATATTTTTTTCTGATAACATGGTTGGGTAAGTCAGTTTTGTAGTTTGTACCAGTTGTGGGCTTGCCATCGTGATTTTTGATGTGGTTGTTGGCTTCATTCTTGCGATTCTCACTCAGGACATGTTGGCTGGTCACTCCAGGGATGACGGGCAGATGTGCAGGAGGAGTCTGAGCAATGGGAGAGTTACGCCTGTCCAATAAAAACTTACGGTCGTAGATGATCCGGGTTCCTGAAAAACAAGCCACATCAACTTTATGCTACTTATGTGGGTATGAGGGTGCCGCCAACGCCTGTCTGCGTTCACGGACACGCTTTCGCGGAACACATGCAACTCTACCACCTATGTAGAGACTTTATGATGAAACCAAAACAGCAAATAATGTGTCCCTAAAGTATGCAGTGACTAATAAGTTTTTTTTAAAACATATTTCAGGATAATTACAATAAATGCCAATCTAGTTGATAACAGAGAATTCATGCAATTTTTTATGTTGTGTTTTTTTTTTTGCACAGGACACATGGACATGATGCTATGACGGCTACACTTATGGTAGCTCAGTGACAGTTATGGCAGTGCAATGCAACAGTCACTTTTTGTTTCTAAAGATATTTGAGTGAAAGACAAAAATGTCATTAAACAAAACATTCAGTCCTGTGACCGTTTCCTGTGATGGATATTCTGAGCTTATTCCCATTTTGAAAAGATTAAATAAAAACATGACAAGATACCTTTGACTGTTTGAACTCTTATGTAGGGTTGGGCAATATTTGCAAAAAAAAATAATCACGATTAATTGGGGTATTTAGCCGATAACGATTAATTTGACTATTAATCCCCTGGAGTAGGCCTGTGGCGATAGTCAATAAATCAATTAATTGCACGATACGTTATTTTGAGGTCGGTAAAAAAAAATGAGGACGATAAGTTTCATTTTCCCGCTTGTTGGTTTACTTCGTCTCTCTCCCTCTCTGTGCTCCGCTACACAGGAGCTGAGCTGACTCCTCTCCTCCTGTTTTCTTAGTGTGGGAGGAGTTAACTCTCGCTTTAGCATGAGAGCTCGTAGCAATAACAAACTAAAGAAACGTTTCAAAGCAGAACGCGGCTCTGCAGTGTCGGAGCACTAGAGCCTGAAATTCACTGCGGGGAGACACAGAGAGAGAGAGAGAGAGAGAGACAGAGGAGGAGAAGGGGTGGGGCCTGAAACTCCCCTGGACCTGCGACAAACTCGTCAAGACTTTACCTGTAGCTCTCAAAAATAACAGGAAACTTAAACGCACCATCTGTGTTTTAACAAAACACCCAAAAAACCTGTAGCTGTCCCAACAACTCATGAGGAAAACTCTGAACTGTCTGATTTCCTCCCCGCAGCGCTCTGCTTGTCTCCTCTGACGGTCCCCTCCTCACACACACACATAGACGTTTGTTCTTCTATCCCCATGGGGACTTTGCATTGACTTTCATTCATTTACCAGTATTTTCTATTAACATTTGACCCTAAACCTAGCCTTAAACTTTACATGGGATGTGAACTGGGCTTATGTCCCAATAAGAAACAGTGGGTCCTCACCAGGCTGTGTAGTTTGCTTCATCTCTAAAGAGATGCTGATCGTTAATATTGTTTATTTACCGTCTTAGTTGTGTGTGGTATTTAATTTACATTTTGTTGTTCTTTGTTTTTTTATTCAAGTGCATTTTTTGTTAGAGACTGAGTCCACTTTGTTAAACATTCTTTAAAAATTAAAGTTTATTCATTTATTACACTCACATATTACGCTTTTATAATTTTTAGTTGTAAAACGGTCACCAGGCAATATTATCGCTTATCGCAATAAATTTTGAGACAATCAATCGCCCAGCAAAATTTGTTATCGTGACAGGCCTACCCTGGAGTCCCTGGACACCCTTATGTCCTAGTCACGACCAATTTAGTGGGTAAGATTTGCTCTTCGTAAATATCTGTTCCAAATTGTGCCAGAATTACAGACTTCGGGCTATACGTCAAATTAAAAATTGTGTTGATAGATAAATAAATGCAGAACTTTATTTTCAATATTCGTCATATTTGAAGTGGAGAGGAACATCAGGCAGACTAAATCGGAGTAATCCCCAGTCAGTCTGCCTGCTGGCATTAATCGTATTAATCGTCAAGTGACAAAAAGTAATCGATTAATGTTTTTCTGACGATTAATTGCACACGATACGATTATGCCCAACCCTACTCTTATGCAGAGTCAAAAGCTTGCTGTGCAAAGATTGCAACAATATGTGGGAAATACATTTCTTGTGCCTTTTACAAGCACCCTTGTAATGCATTTACAAGAGTGTTATCATGTAGTATAAGCATATATTTGTGTTCCATTTGTTAAATGACATCTGCATAAGATTGTCATTTCAATACAAATGCGTGACAAAATGAGCATTTTCAAGCAGTGTGTATTTCTTAATCAGACAGTGCAATTATAAGAATCTCTGCGCTGCATTTCAGCCAATCAGCAGCTAGAAAAGACGAGGGGCGGGACTAAGCTTTGTTTTTGTTTTGATCAGGATGACTAGGCAGCCTAGGCCACAGTGACAGCAACTAACAGCTAGCGAAGAGCACAAATGCCATAAAAAAGGGTCAAAATGCGCCCTCACCTCCAGGGGTGGTGGAGAATAAAGTGCCTCCAGGGGTGGTACAGTAGTCATGAGGTAGCTGCGTTGTGTCGTTGATCAACACCGTCCTGGTCGGGATGGCCCTGCTCTCGCTAAGCTGACGACTGGTCGACATGTTTCGGCGCCGGTTCGGTGACAAATTCAGCAGCTACGGAAATCTGGGGGTGCTTAATTCCCGACGGACGGTGGAAAACTAGGGCCGTTCCCCACTCTTTTATAGCTTTCTGAAAGCTTTCTTGGCTCTCCTTTCGTCCTCCCAGCCGTCAGCTCCGTCCCCTCCCTCAGCAAGGCAGGAAGCGAGACGACCTGCGGGCGGATATGACGTCGGAGCAGGGCTGTTCGACTACTTCATGCATTTTAAAACTTTTTTTAAATTAATAATATAAAACAGAACAACAAACGATACAACTCTCGTGAAGGGTAATAAAAAATAATACTACAAACTACATGTTAGGGGGCAAGCTAAAGGAAATTACAGAACAACTGAGCAAAATAATACAATGAGAATGTTAAAACAGAAAATGTAGAGATCTGTTGTGTATGGAAGCCCATTTCCGCCACCCTGATTAAAAAATAAAACTTGTATCTCATAATTATGACTTAGCTATCTCATTATTATGAGATACTATCTCATAATTATGACTTAGCTATCTCATTATTATGAGATACTATCTCATAATTATGAGATAGCTAAGTCATAATTATTAGATACAAGTTTTATTTATTTTTTATCAGGGTGGCAGAAATGGGCTTCCACAGTTGTGAGATGATCTTAGCTGTTTTCCGCTTTTTTAATGTACTTAATGAAGAAAAGTATACTTTATATTCATTCATAAAACAGGGGAAGGAGGGCTTGGTATCTCTCCACTTAAATATGCTATTTTGCCAAAAGTATGACTACATTTATGGCATCAGAGAAAGAAGAACTTAAATTATCCACATAAAACAAAATGTCCACATCAAAAGAGGGAATGTTAAGTTTAAGATTTATCCAGTTCCTAATTTCTGACCAAAAGTTTTGTGAATAAACAAATGTTCCAAGGATTCATCTTCTGACTTACAAAAAGTACACAAATCCACATCAAATTTAAATATTTCAAGAAACATGGCTACAGGATATATCCTATTAATTATTTGAAAATGTGTTTCCTCCACTTTGATATAGGCCTTGTAAATTTGGAATGAGCAAAAGTCATTATGGTTTTATTACTGGTATTAGAATGGTTCTTGAAGGAATCTGCATTATAGTCATAGTAAATCTTTTGTCTTATAATTTTTAAACTTTTTTTTGTGTTTGTGTATTTGTTGGTTGGTTTAATACACTTTCAGTCACATAAAAATATTCCATAAACACAAAGAAATACTAATAGCCACGACCTACTTATAGTAAAGATAAATTAGCCTATGTTCCATATGACTTTGTAAATGGAGAATAACAGCTTGATAGCAAGGTATGATCTCCATTAATGATTGAAGTTTATATATCACACACGTCCAGCGTGATTTAGGTTAGAGACGGTAATATTGTGACAAAGACAAATACATTTTCCCAGGTTATATTTTATACTGCTAAAGTTATGTTTGCTGTACTAGGTTCCTTGAAAAACTTTCTTATTGTCCTATTTTATTCTAATGAAGTCGCTGTTGGTATCATATATCATTTTACCATTGAAGAGTGTGTAGAAGTACCTGTACTTAATAAAAATCATCTTGTTCTCTGGTACACCAGAGGAAAGTTTACATTGCAATTAAGCATCAGCTTGGTCTGTGGTAGTCTTTGTACCAGTTTATAAAACTTTCAGCAGTGAGTTATGGTTATTGCGCCTAAAATGCAACTAGAAAAACACTCAAAATCTTGGTTTTGAGCTTTTTAAGACGTGCATTTTAAAACGCCTGGCTAAAATGTAAATAGTTAAATAACACAAATTTTGAAATTTACAAAAAACAAAGAGTTCTTTATGATCTCATCCAGTAACATGATGCTGCATTTAAACACATCCTGTAAATTGTCTGACAGAATAACAAATTAAAAGCATTTAATCGTAAGGTTTTTTTCCATTCTGGACATATTTCCAGATGTCTGCTTTCTTGGGAAGATAAGAAAATATTGTGATAAAAATGCGTGTTAGAACAACAATAATGATCGATATATTTAGCTGCATAAGGTAAATACTTTGTCTGCAGACGAGTTGGTTGAGCTAAAATTTCCAATCTGTTCTTGAACGCACCTTTGACTCAACGCGCAGCCGCACATGTGCTTTTCCTCTGTAAACCGAACAACCTGGCGCTTAGGTCTCCTTCCGCCGCCATCCTTCGTCCCGACCCAAGCTACAGCATAAAGCCCGACTAAAATATGAGTTTCACAGTTGAAGAGAGGGGAAACCAGAACTCCCTAAACTACCGTTTGTTCTTCAGTAAGTAAATAGTGGGCAGAAATATCAAAATGTGCCGTTCGTTGCCACTGAGGACTCTTTTTTTTAAACCTCAGTCAGGCTAGCCGCAATCTTCCACGTGTGTGTAATTCATTTATTTTGTCCGGTTTGTGTTATTATGTGAAGGAATAAAATTAATATCGCGCCAGGATTTTAGTCGCTTTTAGGCTTCTTTTGAGTGTTTTTATTCACGCTAATCTAATCTTTCCTTAAATTTTGCCGCGTGTAAGAATATGATTTAAAAAACTTAATTTACGTCATGATCATAGAATATTTTTTAGAAGGAAGTGAATTGATTTTTCCCCCTCTTCTGGTAATCCCTAGGGTGTACACGTCATCCGCGAGTCTAAACGAGCAGGGCACCACCCGCTGATCATAATCAAGCTATTGATAAAGAAAACCTGAGGACCAAATTATTTCAGTTTGTCACTATTATTGTCATAATGTAACATTTTAATACTGATACACAGTTATAACTTTAAGCTTCAGTTTTCAGCCTTAAACTGAAGGTATCGAAGTGTTAGATAAGTCTAAATAAAACTGGGGATATTTGGTGTAAAAGTGAAAGTATGAAGAGTCCAACAGGTGTCATTTCCTTATTGGCAGCATCTTTTATTTGATACTCATGAAAACATTTAATCTGAATGCTTTGCAGAAAATGCTGAAGGAAAGTACATCTCACCGTTCCATGACATACCTATGTACGCAGATAAGAGTCAGGTAAGGAACCATTTGTAACCTTTGTACTTCTGTGCGTGTAATTTCATATTCACTTCAGAAAAATATCCTAACGACATTCCTGCCACCGTAACAGCTTCATTGCTTTTTCTATTGTAGCACCATTAGCATGCTTCCAATCTCTGCAGTATTGCAAGGTCATAGTCTGTTTGAAAGCTAGTGGCCTTTACTCTTTGCTTTCTCTGCACTCTGCCAATCTGTTTATTGACGACTGCGGTGGCGTGGTCATCGTTTTTATAAAACAGGTGGTTTAGATTTTCGTTCTGCTTCCTCAGAACATCTTCCACATGGTTGTCGAGGTACCAAGATGGACGAATGCGAAGATGGAGGTAAGACTGTGTAAAGTGCATCAGCTGAGGATAAAGTGCGCACACAAATAAGCAGCTAACGGAGAACACTAGGCCTGTCCCACCTTGTTATCAACATCTTATCGGTTATTTCCCCTTCTTACTTTTGAAATATTACGTAGTTTACAAACCCATCCAAGTGTCAAACTATTTGCACTATTGCTACTTTTAGCTCAGTAAGTGCTCAGTGTTTTTCACTTTCTATCAAATCAGCATGATTTATATAATGTAATACTTTTAAACCACTCGTATTATTGAGAAAGCAATGCTTAAAAAATGTTTTTTCTTCTAAGTATTGTTACTTAGTAATAACACTAAAATGTATTTTTAAGACAATTATTTTTCAGTATAGACAGTTATATATCTACGTATCATTTTTTTTCAGATCGCTACGAAGGACGTCTTGAATCCAATAAAGCAAGATGTGAAGAAGGGGAAGCTGCGCTACGTCGCTAATGTTTTCCCACATAAAGGCTATATATGGAACTATGGAGCCATTCCTCAGGTTGATCTTAGATTTAATAATCTTATTTCCTGAGAAAATCTTGTGTTTTTGACAGAGCTTAAAAATAAGTAGCGGCATGCACGTAGTGCTAACTCTGTTCTTGTGTGTTAGACATGGGAAGACCCGGCGCACAAAGACGGAGACACCAACTGCTGTGGCGACAACGATCCCATCGACGTTTGTGAGATCGGCAGCAAGGTACACAAGCCCTGTTCTTCTACGAGCATGATTTTATTAGTTAGATACATCTTTATAACTAAGCAGAATATATGCTGTTGTTTTCTGTGAATCTGTGAGTGTTGATGAGCGTGCTGTAAACTGAAGCGTCCTTTTGAAGGTGTGCTCCCGTGGGGAGGTGATCAAAGTGAAGGTGCTCGGTATCCTGGCCATGATCGACGAGGGTGAAACTGACTGGAAGGTGATTGCAATCAACGTGGAGGACCCTGAAGCCAAGGATCTGAACGGTAAGCACCTTGGTTTACTCCCTTTGAGTTAGGGGTGTCCCGATACCAATTTTTTCAAGACTGAGTACAAGTACGAGTACTTCAGTTTAGGTACTCACCGATACCGATACCAAGTAGCGGGGTTCATGTGGATCATCTGTTCAACTTGTTGAAAATTAAACAGAATGAAAATGAAATGCAATTATCATGCAAAAAATTGATAGGTAAATATTATGTTTGACAATAAAAAGGTAGTGCAAACTCTGACAAGTAGATAAGTTGGTATATATATCACACCATAACTTTTGAAACCATTTATTTTATTTCAAACAGGCTCTTTTTTATAAGGCCACACTCCCTCTGAATGTATTAACAAAACCATCCATCCATTTTCTTCCGCCTATCCGGGGTCGGGTCGCGGGGGCAGCAGCTTCAGAAGGGAGGCCCAGACC